CAGGCGCGGAAACGAATCTGCGAGGCGTGGCCGCTCATGCGGCCCGATGGGGAGGAGGGGAAGACGTAGGGCGTGCTTGCGCGCCTTTCCGAGGCCCCTCCAACCCACCCGCGCTAGGTCTCGGGTTTGACGCATGGGGTCACTCCCGCGAAACTCGTGAACTAGCCGGGGCAGTCGGAGAAGGGGCAACTCCGTGCACTGACGGTCGGCCGTCAGAAAACACGCCTCCGTGGCTCGGGTTACACCAATCCTCGCTACCCAACGCGGCCAAAGGATATCCACCTCGAGAACCTCGAGAGGTATTTTCTTCTCAATAACAAGGCTGTGAAGAACGCCTGTGGATGCGCCCTCTGTTGTCGCGAGCACGATTCGCGCATTCCTCAGAAGCCGTCGCGGCCCCCACCACAGGAGCAGTCACACCACTCCCACTCCGGCGCCCACCCCACCCCACCCACTGAGGCGTCGACCGCTGCCACCGCCGCCGTCCGACGCAAAATGGCGCCTGCTCTCTCTCCGCTTGTGCGCTCGCTCATGCGGACCGCGCTCTCCGTCTACCGCGCGCTCGCGCTCTGGGTCTTGTGGGTCCGGCGGCTGCTCGCCCGCGGCGGTGGCACCTCCACACTTGCCGAGCAGCGGGTCGCCAGCGGCCAAGCTTGGGACGAGTTTTGCGACACACTCAAGGCCGCCGGCGCGACGCTCGTGGCGCCGGGCGCGCCGCAGGATCCGCTCAATCAGGCTGAGGGCTACCGCTACCTCTCCCGACTTCTCCGCGCCGGCCTCGAAAACTTTATCGAGTGCGCCGACCCGGAGGGCGCGCCGCAGCTGTGCGCGATCGCGAACGGCAGCCGCGCGGCGCGCATCTGCATCGGCTCCGACAACCCGGACAACCTCTACGAGAACGCGACGCTCGACGGCTCGCTCGAGTACGTCGTGACCGGCACGCGTGGCACGGTCGGCTACCTGGGCTTCGGCACGCAGTCCGGCCAATACGGCGGAAAGGGCGGCTTGCGCACGGTGGACTACCTCGAGGCGGAGCAGCTCGTCTACGACGATGCCGCGGCGGGCGGCCCCAGCGGCGGCGAGCGCGGCTTCACCATCCTCCTCTCGGCGACGCGCCCCGCCGACGCTCCCAACTGGCCGCAGCTCCTGCCACAGCCTCGAGCGGCGATGGTCAGTCGTGACCACAGACTCGTGATCGCGTAGGCTGCAGCTCGTGCCGGAGCCTCGAGAGGCGATGTTCATCGTGCGGCAGACGTTTGGGATCCGAGCGTCGGAGCAGCCCGCCCGGCTCTCGATTGCGCGGCGCCACGGCGCGGGCGAGCCGTCATCGCGTGGCGGCGGCGGCGGCGGACCGACGCCGCTCAGCGCGGCCAAGCTGGACGAGGGCCTGCAGGCGACTGCGGTGCTCGTCGCCGGCGCGTCGGCGATGTTTGCCAAGTGGGCGGCCGGCTTCCAGCAGCACACGAACCAGCTTCCCCTCTTCGACCAGCAGAGGTCGAACGAGGCAGGGTGACTCCCCACATGCCCGGCGCTGTTCATGAGTCGATGCTGCTGACTGCTACTCATTGTGCGACAAGGCGGGCGGCGACCCGAACATCCGGTACTACCACTCGTACTGGCGACTGCCGCCCGGCTTCGTGCTGCGCGTCACCGCGCGTCCGCCGGCGTGCCGCTGCTGGAATTTCCAGCTCAATAACCACTGGATGGAGAGCCTCGACTACCGCCACCACCCCGTGCACACCAACTCGACGCTCGCGCGGCCCGACGCGTCCGACCCGTCGCTGTACACGCGCGGCTCGTCTTGCAGGGGAAGGGAAGGGCACGTCCATGACACGTCCTGCACGCGTGCCGCAGGTACACGCTGCTCGTCTCGCACGCCGACCCGAACGCCGACGGCACCTTCCGTGGCAACTTCATCAGCACCGTCGGCCACCAGCAGGGCACGATGTGCTTCCGATGGGTCGGCGTCGCCCCGCACGCCGACGGCGACGCGCTGCCGCACCCGAAGGCAGACCTCATCCCGCTCGACCAGCTCATGCGCGGCGGCGTCTGAAGAGCGAACCTTGCTCAAGTGCGGCGTGGTCTGGGCGCTCGTTCGTATGAAACGAACGAACCTCTACCGTAATCTATCCTCAGGTCGGACCCCTGTTCAACCAACGATCTGTCAGTCTCGTACGTGAGTTCGTCTGTGAGTACCTCCACTGCGATATATCCTATCTCTGTGTGTAAAATAATCACACGGGTCGCGCAAGCAACGCGACGTTTCTGCGTGGTGAATTGCTCTCTCGATACCGTGCCTACGCCTTTGCCGGTGGCACGAGCGGCGCGCTAAGGTCGGGCGAGAGCACTTTGCCCCAGTTGGGCGGCGGCGAGATGCCTAAACTCGGGGCAATCGCATGTGAACAGACGCCGTTCTCAGGGCTCGCCGTCTTGGGCGGCGACGCGGTGCAGTTGTCGTGGAGCAGCAGCGCGAGGAAGAGCATGGCGGCCACTGGGGCAAAGAGCCAGACGTCGGCCCCTGCTTGCTGAAGCAGTGATGCCAGTGTCGCGCGTTCTTCGGTGAGTCTTCCCCCTCTACATCATCTCAACGCGGGAGACGTCGGCGGTGATGTGTACCGCGGTGTGACCGATATCAAACCTTCTTATTGACGGCAGAAAATACCTCCTAATCACACGTACCTGACTCTGAGTCTGACGCAAACAATAGGGCACGCTTTGTGACACTCCCTCTCTTCTCTTCTCACTAGGGCAAGACGGCTCCGCCAAGCGACATCATCTCACAGACATGGCAATAAGCGTGCGCAGCGACCGACGCCAAGAGCCCCCCCCCCCACCCCCCACCCACAAAAGCCCATTGGATGCG